CACCCGTCCAGAACTCCGACAACCACTGGGGAGGAGACCCCACCTCCAGGAATTTACCCCCAGCATCAGAATCCGAGCTGTTCTTCATTTCACTCCTAACGGTCTGATGCGCCTCATTCCTCAGCTCTCAGCTGTGAGCGGTTGTTCTCCAAGTTTGCAGCGTGAGTCTCTGAGTCAGGACTCTGGATTCATTATAACAATAGGAAACCAAGCCCCGCTTCTCATGGCTCCCTCTGGCGGTGAAGAGAAAATCCCAAGGATGGATCCTCAAACAGGAAGCCTCCTTTTCTTCCTCTTAAGCCCGTGAGCGCCCAGTACTCTATTTTCCTATTCTCCCGTTTTCGAAGCCATCTTCAGTTTAGGAGTTTGGAGTTATTAAGAAGACATACCGGGCTTCCCTGCTGGCGCAGTGGTTAAGAATCCGCCTGCCAGTGCAGGGGACACGGGTTCGAGCCCTGGTCCGGGAAGATCCCACATGCCGCGGAGCAACTAAGCCCGTGCACTACAGCTACTGAGCCTGCACTGCAGAGCCCGCGAGCCACAACTACTGAAGCCCGCGCGCCTAGAGCCCGTGCTCCGCAACGAGAGAAGCCACCGCAATGAGAAGCCTGTGCACTGCAATGAAGAGCAGCCCCTGCTCGACACAACTAGAGAAAGCCTGCACGCAGCAACCAAGACCCAATGCAGCCAAAAATAAACTAAAAAAAAAAAGACCCAATGCAGCCATAAATAAATAAACAAATAAATAAATAAATAAAAAGAAAAGATACTAAATCCCCAGCTGTAGGAGATAAATGAGAGGAGAGAGCGGCTGCGTGTACAGTGAACTGAAGAAAAAGGCAGCCTCTCTCCAAAGAATAGGGCAAAACTGCGTTTGAATGCGCTCCTGCTACATTGATGGTAATGAGTTTTCTTTCCAAAAAGATAGGACCCGGTATTCAAGGTGAGGGGGAAACGGAACAGACACAGGGACCCACCTCAACTCCAGGCCTAAATTTAGCTGCGGGTTAAATAAGTGATGGGCCTTTTCACTTCTAAACTGCTCGCTTCCTTTTAAAGTTAGCTCCTGTGCAGCTGCAGGCGAGGGCTGGGGGAGAAGCAGGTCACTCCCAGCCGGAGGACGCCAGCCTCGTCCTCGACCAGCCAAGCCTTCTGGAGCGGGGCTGGACTGGCATGGAGAAAGGGGCCAGAGACATGGCCAAGAGATGAGAAGCCAAAGACATAAAGCCTGCTCCCTCAACTGGCCGTGATGTAACATCGCGTGGGCCTCACTCCTAGATGTTCTAATGTAATTGGTCTGGGCTGGGCTGGGGACACGGCATCAGTCTGGTTTAAATTCTCCCCGGGTGATTCTAAGGTGCAGCCCTGATTGTTACACTGGGCCCGAAGACCTTCAACGTAGGTATTAACACTTTACACGTCCTCGTTGTAGTTAAGCTGCGTGAGGCCATGAAAACTGTCTACAGAGAATGTTAATAAATGGTGGTCAAACCTACTGCACCTTCTGGGAAATCTGGAACACTAGGGAAGGTTTGAACAAAGGCCTAGGGGTCTTCTGGGAGAAGCAGGGGAGTCTGTACGTCTCAGGATTAGGGCTCTTGAGCAGAGAGATGAAGGGCGCCCCACCTTTCAGAAGGCTGGGACGTCAGTGGGCAGGTGAAAGACTCAAAGGGCATTTCAGAACCCCCCGTGCCACAATATCATCGGTTCATGAATGGAAGGGAGGGATGGCCAACACAGCCTAGTGTCATTCACATGCCCTCCAGGAAGCTCGCCCAGGTTCCTCAGCTGAGCACCTGAAGAGCTGTGAGGACTGGAGTTACTACAGCTCATACAGCATCATGGCCAAGGGCTAGGCTCTGAGTCAGATGACCTACGATTGCATCGCGGTTCCATTACTTGCTGGCTTTGTGTCCTTGGACAAATTACTGACCCTCTCTGTACCTCATTTCCCCCTATAAGGTTGTAATGAGGATGAAATGAGTGAGTGCACCTAAAGCTTGGGGTATACGTTCGGGAGAGAATTTCTGCAGCCGAAGCAGGGGCCCAGCACCGTTGTCAGAGAGGAGGCCCTTGGCGGAGCGGGGCTCCAGCAGGGCACAGGGCACGCTGGGCGGCTGCGGTGCAATGGCATTATCTTGTTGAACTGCAAGTACCTGGAAAGGCATGATTAGCCCAACTCATGCATGAGAAAATGAGGCTGAGCCAGAGGAAGTGGTTTGCCCGAAGGTCTCACGGTCTTCACACCTAGGCCATCTGACACCAAAGGCTCACTCCCTACTCTGCTCACTCTGGCGTCCACTGTCCAGGCAAGGAAGGCTACGAAATCTGAGCGTGAGTGAGTGAGGGCCCGACCATCCCTTTCTTACGCTTTGTTTTCAAAGAGAAAGGTCTGGGGCAAATTTTTTACAATAAGAAAGACGACATATTCCTTCTTTAACATGATGGTGAGCATCTAAATACCAACAGAACATTCGAAAGCCCAACTCAGCCTTCTAGGGCATTTAGGCAATTGACGTGAATCTGAAATTATTCCCTTTATTTCTTTGCTTTTTTTCCCAATAGAAAGTGTTCAAATCTTGGAAATTTGGTTTCTGATAAGCAAGGACGTGAGTCAGATCAGAGCAACAGAGGTTATACGAGGGAATCCCTTCCTCATGAGCATTTCGGGGTGGGTGGCTTGGGTGTGGAGACCCACACTCACTGCTGGCCTGGCGCCCTCTGGGCCTCATTTATAGATTCATATAGTCGGGATGCAATGCTGATGTCTAAGGCCTCTAATTCTGCAATTAGAAGACAAACATCTCTGGATGGATTCCACTGAAATGGACTATGTTATCTCAGAATACTGCTTACTTTGTTTACAATCAGTTGAAATGATGGAAGTCGGCTGTAAGGTTAGGGAAAACCAAAGTTGCCAGTAGGCATGCTTCCTGGCTGGATTAATGCCATCTGTACAGCTGGCAGCACCACAGTTCTAGGAAGACCTTTGTGACCTCGGGGGTCAGTCTGGACAGATGTTATCTAATTTGGGAGAATTACACTGAGCCTTTTCCTCAGAAGCATTTCAGAAGCTTGTACAGCCATTCCCAGATTCCAGGTGCTGCTGAAGGTTCAGGCAAGGAACTCAATCCTGGAATAGACAACTGGTCAGAAGTCAGCGGAGTGAGCTTTTATGCCAGTAAATCTTCCTCCAAAGATGACAAAACCTTTTTCCTGTCAGAAGACTCTAGCTACACCCATAGGAGCAGAAATGAAATGAAGCCAGTGATGACAGAGATGGTGAAGATGATGGTGGTGATGATGGTGATGATGATGGTGATGATGATGGTGATGATGATGATGGTGATGATGATGGTGATGATGGTGATGACGGTGATGATGATGGTGATGATGATGATGATGATGGTGATGATGATGGTGATGATGATGATGGTGATGATAGTGATGATGGTGATGATGATGGTGATGGTGATGATGGTGATGATGGTGATGATGATGGTGATGATGATGGTGATGATGGTGATGATGATGGTGATGATGATGGTGATGATGGTTATGATGATGGTGATGATGTTAATGATGATGATGGTGATGATGGTGATGGTGATGATGATGGTGAGGATGATGATGATGATGATGGTGATGATGTTAATGATGATGATGATGGTGATGATGATGATGGTGATGATGATGGTGGTGATGACAGGTGAAGTGAGGTGAAGCGAACTTACAGAGAGGGTGGACCCAACCAGGTATGTGTGTGGCATTGGTGGGAGTGTGGGGAGGAAAGGTGGAGACTAGGCTGTCCCAATATGCCACACGTCAACAACGCTCAGTGAGCCACGTAACACTCAGTCCAATGGCTCTGACAGAGCAATATGGAAATTGACCAGAGGCAGCCTTTCCACATTACTTAAACTAATTAAAAATTATTCACTGTAGTAAAGGATTGTCCTAGATGACATTATCTATCTAGACTAAACATTCTTATGAATACACGGCCACCTTCTCTCTCTCTCTCCAAATATTTCTTTGGGGTCGTGGTAAAGACCAGTGTGCATCAGACAGATCCTCCAATGGTCCTTTAGTCACGGAGTTTGCTCCCTGCCAACTGCTGCCTAGGGGTAGTTGCTGTGGGTTGAACCTGGTGTGAGGCTTTCACGAGAGCTAAGCCCAGGACTTCCAGCCGAGAACCTTCACCTTCAAGCACACACTTCTGCAGTGGAAGCAAGTGCCAGTGAGTTGTGCACTGGGGTCCTTATGGTCCTGTGCAAGGAACTCCCTTTCTGTGCTGGTTTTCCCAAGGGTGTTGCTAACCACGCCCCTGTTATGATTGGCTGTGTGTTAGTCAGTGACCCCCCCCACCGACAGCCAATCCTGGCTGGCTCTGTCAGCCCACCCCCCAGTTACAGAGGTTCTACAGACACGCAAACCCGTCAGCCTTCTACGGAGATGCTGATAGCTTTGGAGGCCCCTAATCAGTAGGCACCCATCGTGTGCTGGTATTGATCACCTACCTGTGGCCTTCAAATCACAATTCATCTACATGAGTGACGCGGGGGAAGAGGTAACATTTCCTGGGCCCCTGCTAAGTAGCTGACAGAGCCTCACATGACACACAACAGCCTGTGAGATACATAACACAACCCTCATTTTCTACAGGACAGACTAAGGCTCTGAGAGGGAGTACTTCGCCCAAAGTCGCATAACTAACCTGAGACGTGACTCCAGGTCCATCCTTCCTCCGTCCAGGACGTGCTCCAGCCACTGGCCATTCCACACGCTCTCCCCTTCCACCACCACCACAGCCAACGGCCTGAACTGAAGTTTTAGACACTGTATTAATTGTATTCTATCAGAAGAGATGGTTTAAAAAAAAAAAAATAAATATATAAATAAATAAGAAGAGTCCAGTCTCTCTTAGTAGGAAAGTATGTTAACCAGTCGCTATAAGAAAGAAAACAAAGTGAAAAAAAAAAAAAAAAGTGGCAGCTTGCTCATCATTTATATACAGCTTTATTTGCAATTCGCTGAAACCACTGAGAACAACTGACAGGTACACATGTTGCCTCTGGAAACAGCTGAGCCTGGTGATGGCGGTGGCCACGGGCAGGCGTGCTCACACCCAGTGCTGCGCCGCACCCAGGGCTGTGCTGAAGGTCCTCAGGGCCCGATGGGTGCCCCGCGCGGCCAGGAGGAGCGACCCGGCTTCGGCCTCGTGGCCAGCTGCCCGCAGGTGTCTGGCGAGATCCTCTGCATCCCAGCACCCTTGCTGGGGGCTAGCCAAGAGGTGCTCGATGAGACGTGGGTAGAAGGGAGTGGAGACGCACTTCACCAAGAGCTTGGCGTCCAGGAGCAGGGAGAGAAGCTCTCGGTCGCAGTTTGAATCATTCACCTGCAAGAGGTAAGACAGGCAGGGGTGAGGGGCGGGCGTTGCTGACTCCCCACCAGCAGACACAGACACATCCCCGCTGCTGTGCTGGGCGCTGCCCTTCTGCCTTTGTCATCAGAAACCCCTTTACCCTGGCTAACAGCGCCTGTTCCGAGAAGCACACACAGGGCACGAGCGTCTCTGGCGTCACACACACAGGATGGCAGACCCGGTCTCCTTTTCACGTAAGACATGGCCACGTACCAAGACGCCCTGGGATCACAGTGGCAGCTCCCACATCGAGTGTCAGAGCTGTGCTAAATGCCGGACATGTGCTCCTTCACCGAGTCCTCTCGGTCTACCCTGTGAGGCCAGCACTTTAACCCCCTGACTTCACATTTTAGGAAACTGATGGCTAAGAATTTCACTTAACATCGTGGTCGGTAAACTGTGGAGCCAGAATCTGAATTAGGTCAGTATGACTTCAAAGCTCGAGCTTGTTAACCACCACATTTACCATTTCATTTGCGCGTCACCACGGTCCATATTCTTTAACCTCAAACCTCTCCTTTATGTAGATCCCTGTGAAAAAAATTCTTTTCGGAACAAGAAAACCCTTCTTCTACTCCACTGAGAAAGTACACCCATCCCCCCCACTGTTGTAAACACTGGTGTTCAGAAGTTGTTCTTGCTTAAGCCTCTAGAAAGCTCAGCACCAAACTCACCTTTCTAAAACAAGTTTTCTGTGCTCTATCAGTGGCATATTTTCTGTACTTCCTCCCTGGTCTTATCTTCTTGGCCTAGGCATGGTTCTCCATGGCTTTGACACTTAGCTTATATTTTTTTGTTTTATTATTGTCCATATTTTCATAAGGAATCAGGTCAACACGAATCACAGACCAAAGTTCAGAGCTTCTCCTTTACGTTGGGGTGTCACAAAACAGCTTCACGACAGCTGCTTCTTCGTGTCGCTGTGCACTTTTTAATAGTTTGGGGTGTAGTAACCACAGAAATAATGTGGCATTTCAGAGCCAAGTACCTCATGTTTGGACCAACTCTATTACGTAACTGTACACGGCGTGAGTGTTCCGTGACAAGGAGGAAAGGCTGCTGGAGACAAGAAGGTCAAGGCTGTCGACTGGCTGCGAGGATTAAAACAAAAGAAGTTCTGAGAATAAAAGTTACTGCCCATAACCAGACGGCGCCTATCTTTCCTACCAACCAGTGATCCTTCAAACCCCCACAAAGATGTCAGCTCCAGTGCCGTCTTCTTGGTGACATTTCCCCTAGATCTCCTGGCCAAGCTGACCCCCCTCACCCCACACTCCAGGACGCTGTACACAGGCCTCTCCGCGCTGTATTATGGTGCTTGGTCCAGCTGCCCTTCTACCACCCTGGGAGCTTCTTGAGGGCATGGGGGGCTGCAGCCCTTTCATTTCAGCATCCAGTTTAATTCGCACTCGTTAAATGGCTGAATGAACCTACCTCACTGAAACCTGTCACATTTTTGTAAAGTGCACACGTACGCTATTGAACAAGATTCTAGACTCAGAACTGGAGTCTTGCAAACTCTGGGCGTCTTTTCTTCAGCCTCTCATTCCATCAACCGTTACATTCCGCTCATCCACCTCTGACTCAGGAAGACACTGACGTTGAATTCAATTTCGCACTTTTTGTTTGTTTTCGTTTTTAGAGGTGGTGACGAAAGCAACTGGTACAAGACCAGTTTTTCTGCTGCTGAAAGTGGCAGAAGAGCTTTCCATCCTCCCCACTGGGGCGGCTGCTTAAGAAGGTTCTGCGCGTCTTCTTTCCCTCCTTTCTCTTTTGCTCCAGAGTAGGAACCAGGACCTGAACTCCATCACGGTGCCTGCCCCTTCCTGGGAGGCCCTCACGTGCCACTGAGGCACCTTCTCTGTAAGCCTTAAAACATCCCTTTAAGACCGTTCTGATCTCATTTGACAGACGCATAAACCGAGGCTCAGCGAGCTCAGAGCCATGTGTCGAGCATCGTAAGGCTGCTGCCGCCCGGGAGCCCTCAGCTCTGACTAGTGCGTGCGTTTACTGTTTGTTCCCCCCCGACCCAGACTACGAGCTCCTCCAGAGCACAGATGGTGTGTCCTCTGTTCACCCTGCAGCCCCAGGCCCAGAAGAGCGTGGGCCTCATGGGAGGAGCCCAGCAAGATCTGTGGAATGAACACGTGAAGAATGAGTAACTCCAAAGCTCGCGTCCTTTCACGGTACACCGCAGCCTCGACACACGCTCGTGTGAGCGCGCGCGCACACACGCACGAGTGGCGGCTGAGTTACTGTGCGTGTTGTTAGTTTGGTTCACTGTTAAAAATAAAAAATCCTTCCACCTAACCCTCCAGGAGAGAACAGAGTGTGTGCCAGGATGCTACAGGCAAATGTTTGATAAAATACGTGGATAAAAGCCTCAGCATCCAAACACCGCAGTGGGGTACTTTCTTCGCTGCCCTGAGTAAGTCTTCAAGGCTAGGACACCTTTATTATTCTTTCTGTTGACTCACGACCCCTCCCTCTGGGGGCCTGAAAGGCTCCCAGGAAGGGAATGATGGATTTTTCAGGGGTTCTGTGAGTGCTGCCCCTCTGGTCCCCTCTTCTGTTTGCTTCTCTCCAGCGCAATGACATCCTGAAAGGTGGCTTCCCGTGGGATGTGCCTTTTGGATAACTGCCCGTGTCCTAAGGCAGGGTGGGTGTCCACCCTCCAAAAGCTCTCCGTCTACTATCCCGGCTGAGGAAGCCTAAGGCTGTAGTCACGGAAGTGAACTCCGACGTCTCCCCTGTGGTCCTGGCCCGCTCAGAGGTTCCCTAGAGAGTGGCGGAGGCAGAGACCGCGGACCTCCACTGAGCCTGGGCCATGGCCAGGGGAGGGCATGGGGTAATTCTGCTTTAGTTCCTCATAAGCAAATGCTGGGAAAATGCAGGGCTGACTCTATTTCCTTTCTCTGGCCTTCTACCTGATTCTGGCTCTTTGCAAGATGTACAGGATGCCCAGAGTATACTTTATAATTGTCATGTGCAAGGAAAACACTGCATATTTATTCCCAAATATGTACATATTTGGGACAACACAGAGAATGAAAGAATACAGAAAGTAAGAGAAGGCCTTTCTAAGGACCCAGTGCAACAACTGCGTTTTAACGAAGAGGAGCCTGAGAGTCAGAGGAGAGGATTGCCCAGGATTGCCCGAGGTCACAGGCAGCCAGAACGGCTCCTCCGCACACACCAAGCCGCCTGCCTCAGGGGCACCAAGGCCAGCCTGGGTCTTCCTCAGCGCAGCAGAGCTCCTGGCGTCATCGCGACATCGTGGAGCTGCTACGTTACTTTGTCAAGCCTCAGCTTGTCTTCGTTTTTCTTGTTTTTGACTAAAATCCTAACTTAAGCCACTGATCATCTGGTACTACCTACCACAGAAGCCTACAACTGTCTTACCAGTTAGAATTACTCATTCTAACCCACTTGATTTTTCTTTGTGAAATAAAAAGAAAAAAATGGAAATAGTTTTAAAAAAAGAAAGAACTCTGTATCAGGATCACCACAAGAAAATTATTTTATCCTCCTTTTCTCTCTAGTAATTATCTATATGCAAACATATTTCCACAATCAATCCTGTGACACTTGTACCTACTTTTCTCATATGTTGAGAATTTTTAAAAACTATTTTCACACAGTTTTCATTCCTTTTTAGCCTTCCTAAAAAGGTTAATGGGGCTTCCCTGGTAGCGCAGTGGTTGAGAGTCCACCTGCCGATGCAGGGGACACGGGTTCGTGCCCCGGTCCGGGAGGATCCCACGTGCCACGGAGCGGCTGGGCCCGTGAGCCATGGCCGCTGGGCCTGCGTGTCTGGAGCCTGTGCTCCGCAACGGGAGAGGCCACAGCAGTGAGAGGCCCGCGTACCGCGAAAAAAAAAAAAAAAGTTTAATGGCGAAGTAGTCTATTGAACAAGCTTTTTAACTTCCCCTGCTATAAATAGCTGTTTATAATCATTTGATATTATTGAAACACTACAAGTGAATGGTTTTTACATATATCCTTTCTTTATTTGAATTATCTCCTTAAAATAAATTATTAGGAGAGGTATAACTGGGGTCTTAGGGGATGACATGTATCCCCCCAAATTCATATATTGAAGTCTTACCCCCCAATACATGAGAATGTGACTGTATTTGGAGACAGGGCCTTTAAAGAGGTAAATAAGGTTTAATGAGTCATTTGGGTGAATCCTAATCCAGTTTCATTGGTGTCTTTATAAGAAGAGAAGATGACACACACATAAACCCAAAGGCGACCACATGTGGACACAGGGGGAAAGCAACCATCTACAAGTCACGGAGAGAGGCCTCAGAAGAAATCAATCCCGCTGACACCTTGATCTTGGACTCTGGGCCTCCAAGATTGCAAGAAAACAGATTTCTAGTGTGTAAGTTGCCCAGTCTGTGGTACTCCGTTACGGCAGCCTGAGCAGGACCAATACATGGGGCAAAGCATCCGAAACAATTTTTGGCTCAGGCTGTGAGAGCAGTGCAGTCACACAGTGACGTGGACCGTCCAGCTCACAGTGGTGCTGTCAGGGGAGGAGTGTGTCAGTTCCACTGCAAACTTCTCAGCTTTGGATGTTATTGTTTTGAAAAGAAACTCATTTTGCTAATTTAGGAGATATGCATAAGTACCTCAAAGATGATTTTATTTTAATTTGTTTATTTGCAAGAATGAATTTTTTCCATATATTTCCTGTCATTTTTATTTTTTCTTGTGGGAAGGATCAAATCCTTTGCTCATTAACTGGAGTTTCAACATCATTTTAGACATGTGAAGGAGTTCTTTGTATAACTTAAACATTAAATTTGATTTTAGTTATTGATATAATGGACATTCTAATCCGTTGTTGGCAATTCTGTTTTGGTTATTTGTTGTCTTGTAGAAGTTTTACATTTTTATATCATAGGAAAGGATCTGTTCCTTTATGATCCTTTTCCTATTGCTTTAAGGCTTGGAAGCTATAC